CCCCAAAACCCCAAAACCCCAAAACCCCAAAACCCCAAAACCCCAGTGATCTATTCGCATATTGAATTTCAGGATTATTCAGTTTTTAATTTTGAACCCCATTTAGCTCTTTGGTGAATACCTCTTGCAGCCTCTCTTCTGATCTTCTCGTTCTTAGTCAAATAAACAGCTTTTCTGATCTTAGTCAGATTAGTCTTGATTTTGGAAGTGATGCCAGAAAGAACACTTATTAACTTGGTAATAATTTTAGCCGCAAGCCTGATAACCAGTCTTAGAGCATGATACAGGATGAACCCAGCCAGTACTAAGCAAACTCCAGCAAGCACGATTAGAATCTCGTACCATATAGAACTTGCAAGATAGAAGAGCCTGTCTGATATCAAAATCTTGTACCATAAATATCAATATGTAAATGGATACACAACTACCAGAATTGAGGTAAAGTACGCCATCCTTCTCTGAGGGAGAGTCGACCATTCACGGAACCCTTCTACTGTCCAGCCAATGAATAGTGCCTCCAGGAAGCAGATCAGCACGAGGATGTTAGGCATCAAGAAATAGAAGAACAAGAAATGCACAACAGAGTACAACAAAGAATGGATCCATGAAACCAAGGAAACATGTGAGCATAGCTTGTAATCCAATGTCACAAAAGCAACAATTGGAATAAGGTAAATGATAAATTGTCTCAAAGGGCAAAAAGTCTCCTCTCTATGGTTATATCCAGGGTAATGGCCAAGTCAGCTCCAGCAAAATTCATGCTTGCATTTTTGTCAGACCATGTGATTACAGCCACCATCTTTCCAAATCACAAGACCTCACTTAGGACAAGGGACTCCTGTTAGGACTTCATTAATGTAGCTAAAGGTCTCGGATTTAAATGTAAGAAAGTCTTTGACAGACTTAATCATCTTCTGAGAGTCGGTGAGTTGGGAATATTCTCTCCATTCAAAGGAACATTTATTACATCTTAGCTTATCACTACAAGACTCCATCTTGATCATACCGGCATAGCTGCACTCTTCGTTAGGGCATCTTCTGATATCCTCAGTGTTACTGAGGTAGATCTGTGTGTACTGCTCATTTATGCTTTCAAACATTTCTATTCCAAGAAAGGTGATTAAATCTATATGGCTCAAGCTATGCTCGCATTGGTAATTAGGACAAGGGATAGTCACCTGTCCTGATAGCCTATCCATAATGAGTTTGCTCTTCGCCCATTCAGTAATGCAAGGGCCTCAGATATAAGATCCTCACAACATGGGAATATCGACGGAATTTGTGAATCAAATGACACAGTACTGACTTGACATTTTGAAATTATTATAATTCAATAGATATAGTCAGCAAAGGGGTTTTGGGGTTTTGGGGTTTTGGGGTTTTGGGG